GAATAGTTCCTTTATCTCAACCAAATAGCAAGTATTTGGGGCCACCTTATCCCAGGCAAGCCTTAGCACCTATTTGCTGTTCTGACCTGACATTCTGTAAGTGCTTCTCTGAAGCAGGATTATTTAAAATTAATATAGTTCTATAACCAAGATATACTAGTATTAATTTCATATTTTAAAGCTTTCTGTGGCTTCCTATGTCCACCCCTGCGTGCTTTATTTTGGATAATAATTGTTCCTTTATATTCTCTGTGAAAAGTAATAAAGTTATTACTGAAACTTCTAGACCAAGATTTTATTATTGCAACCTTTACAAGCTGCTGAATTTGCACTCCCATATTAGGAAATGCTGCTTATATCTTCTTTTTACGTGTGTTGACTATTTTTCATAATTCAGTCATAAGACATTATTTCAAAAGGGACAATAGCAGTAAATAGACAAAATAGTATCTTTTAAAAACGTTAACTACCTAGGATATGTTTGAAGATAATAATGCATGTGTTTGTGAGGTCAAGGCCTAAGTTCAGTATTAATCCATTGCTCAGAACACAGATCAACAAACAAACTACCAAATGCAACTGAGGTTCCCTCTGAATGTTGCTGTTTGAATGATGTAAACCATTGCTTTTAAGATGCAATTTAATATTTCCAGCCCTGCATAGATGACATTACCTTTTGTATTCTTTGGTTTCTTAGTAATACTTAACACATTTTTTAAGTAAAACTTTATTTAAGAATAACTTGGCTTCTTTTTATAGCTTTTCCTCCTAATATTCAGAATTGGCTGTTCTGCATTACACCCTACTAGTCTAACTACTATTAAAAAAACTCTAGTTCTGATATATAGTAATACCATACCAGTCATTGTGATTTTCAAGGTAAAGTACTCACTAAATCACAACAGTTGGAATTTTACTAACATTGTCATCAACATATGCCAGTTATATCTTCTATAAAACCCTGAATTTTTCTCCCTATTTTTAATTCACCTTGCTTATCAGCTACTTGCTTCAACTCATCTGAAAAACCCTCAAAAGCTAATTCCACAGGTTCAGACTCTGGAATTTACTGAATACTCTTATCTTCTGTGTTTTGAATTTATAAACCATTTCTAACATTGCAGAACTGTTTTAGAAAAACAACTGTCTTCAAAAATATTTTCGTAAGTGAAATTTAAATCAATAATATTTTCAGGATGCCAACTAGAGCTGTTATGAAGTGGATCCAATCTTTGTATCAGTAATTTGGTATTTCATGCATGATGTTTATGAGAGAAATAACTATTTGCGTAAAAGCCATGAACATGTACTCATTTTGAGCAAATGGAAGGTACAAAGCAGGTCATTTATAAGGCACATTAAAGCCTTTTCCTTTAATTTTCCTGATCAGCTCCATGGAGTACCAAATATTCATAGAAATACTTGATATCTTTTTCTAAATATCAAATAAACACTACCTTTAAGAAATGAAAATGAAGATTTACACTTTTTCTTAAGCCTTCACATCTCCTTCACTACTGTCAAAAATGTACTTCTAGTTTCCAAAAGCATTTCATTTCCATTTCCAAAACATAAAAAACAATTCTATATCTCAAAAAATATTTATTTCAATCAATTTACTTTTCTAATGCAGATTCTTAAAGAGTGCCCCCAAATTCTTTCATATCGACATATCATCACATTCACTAATCATATAACCTTTCTAAATGTAAGATAATTTCATCTCAGTATTACCGTAGTTATGTGTCTCAATAAATTCTTTGTCCTTTACATTTCATCCCTGTTTCTAAATTAGTAAAAGTGTGTGTATCAACCATGCATGTCTGCAATCATATAACCTGTCAGCTAGGGGGAAGCTCTGTGAAGTAATCTGTCATCACTTTTCCTAAAATAAACTATAGCTTTCAGGGACTTCTGGAAAGCTACGCTTACAGAGGTTGAGTATCCTGCACTAGAACAGCAGGTGCTTTTTGTGTTTCCGCTTCCTCTGGGCCCCCATCATGCCTGTATGAAATTCGCCTTTCCACATTCAAGCAAGGAATTCCCCTATAGATTCACCTATTAGCTAGTGGGTTGTACCAAAATTGAAATACCTTGTTGACTCTCAAATCAGGCTTTGGAATTTAGAACAAAACAAAATTGTTTAAAGATGTCTTTTCACTTAAATTGCTTTTGTTCACAGTGCCTCCCCCTGAAACAATTATGTTCTTCGTAGGTCTACAGTCAAAAGAAAACTTGATACATATATCAGGTATATACATGATCTCTATCAACTATTTGGTAGTCATCTATCAAAACACTGACAATCAGGAACTCAGGACTATATCCCCGTCCTTCTAAGCAGGACATGTTTTAAAGCCATTTTAAAACAAGATAGCTAGAAGTAATTTACTCACTTTGCAAAGTGCTTTACTCTATATAATACTTTTTCCATGCTAATAAATCATGACTTTCTGCCTGCAGTGATCTTACGTAAGCATTCTAGATCTCATTTTCGAAAAATAAAGGCAAGGTTCTGCTGTAATTCTCTTACCACCAAGGATCAAAAATTTCCACTCAGATCTCATATTGCTGCTGTACATATCTGTTATCAATAAAATGTTTTGGTGCCGTGTTCACAAAATCCTCTGCTGAGTATAAAAGTTTCTCTTTTTTTCCAGTCAGCTTTAATAACGGTTGCTATAAACATATGTATATTTGATCCACTGTCATATAAAATCATACATAAATCCAACGAAGTTTAAGAGGAAAAATTTTACTTACACTAAAGCAATATCTGTAGTGTTAATTTTTAACATGATAATCATAGAATTATAGAATGGCATAGGCTGGAAGGGACCTTAGAGATCATCTAATCCAACCTCCCTGTCATGGGCAGGGACGCCTCTCAACTAGACCAGGCTACTCAAGGCTCCGTCCAACCTGGCCTTGAACATCTCCAGGGAGGGGGCATCCACAACTTCTCTGGGCAATTTATTCCAAAGTCTTACTACCCTCGTACTGAAGAATTTTTTCCTAAAATCTAATCTAAATCTGTTCTCCTTCAACTTAAACCCATTTCCCCTTGTCCTATCAGTGGACACTCTTGTAAAAAGTCCCTCCCCAGCCTTCCTGTAGGTTCCCTTCAGGTATTGGAAGGCAGCTATTAGGTTCCCTCGAAGTCTTTTCTTTTCAAGGCTGAACAATCCCAGCTCCCGCAACCTGTCCTCGTAGCAGAGGTGCTCCAACCCCTGGATCATCTTTGTGGCCCTCCTCTGAACATGCTCCAACAATGTGCTTGTATGATCTCTTAAAGCTACGTTTGAATAATTATTCGAATTATTTTTACCAAGAAAGCCAGAATCTACTCTGAAAAACTGGGGGTTGATAGTACCAAAAAAAAGATTAGAAACAGTTGCATATCCTTGTATGTTGTACAAATAAGTGACAAACTGAAGTCATATAATAACATTATTCTCATATAAAATAGTTACGTTGGCATCAGAAGTCTGTAAAAGCATACGCTGATAGGTATTGACGCTCATAGTTCTTAATAAAGCCAACAGAATTTGAGGGGGAAATCGAGTCTTTGACTTGAAAGTTATATAACTATAGTCATGTTTAATCAATTATATATAAACCCAAACACCTAACTCAATCTAAAAAAAAAAAAATCAGTTGAGATAACATCTATTCTTCTTTATTAAAATTTCTATTGAATATCTAACTTACTTCTTCCTTCTCTGTTGACTAAAAGTTATGAAGCTGCAAAATCGATATCTGCACTGGAGGCAAGGCAGTCCACTTCTCTGGTTGGAAGAACATGTTTCCCAGGCAAAATGGTTTATTTTAAATAGCTTTTGTGAGTACAAAGCATGCTACAGTCCTAACCCTTCTTGTCTCCAGTTGAGGCAATGTGCTTGTATTGCAGACATGGGCACTGTTTCTTTCGCCATCTATATGCAATGCTCTTTCTGTCACCTGAACATCAAACATTGTTTTGATAGGGAACGTAAAATTCTGCAGAACCACAGATCAAATGCACTTTTACTATTTTTTTACTTTTTAATGCTGCAAAAAGCAAGTTTCAAAGTAGAAAAGCAAAAAGAAAACAGAGCCCTGACATTTTTGCATGCTTCTAAAAAACGTTCACCATTTATTCCTCTCTAATCAAAATGATTAGATTTTTGCCTATAACTACAGGCTCTTCTGAATTTTGAACAAGAACAGGCAAGAATCTTCCCCACAAGTCTTTTTCATGTCATATTTGTTTCCCTTTGATTTTGTTTTAAATAAGGATTCTACCATTAATCATATAAATCACAAAAGTGGATAATTTGCACGTAGAAAGAAAATTACTTACCTTATACTGGATAAGGAGACCATAAACCAAAACATTTTTCTTTTTCACTTCCCTTGCAAATTTCTTGATCCTAGTTAATTCTTCCATCTCAATGCTGAAAGAAATATTTTCTGAAATATCTAAGTGCACCTGCAAAGAAACAAATATAAAAAAAACATTTTTCCCACTTTTTCAAAGTTTGTTACTACAGACTGTCAGTTTTTAATATCTCATGTTTATGTGTTAAGCAGATACAAAAATACAGGCTAACAAAGTTTTCTTAGCTAGCTTCTATTACTATTGAATTCCACCACTTATGTATTTAGTGACATGAAAATGATTTATATTCAAAGCACAGTGAAGTCAATAGTCCAGAAAACATCAGAACACAATGTTTTAACTGCATATTAAAAATATTCAATTAAATCAGAAAAACAAAAAACATTCTTTTCTAAGCCCTAGTTTAACTTTTACAGATTTTTGTTTATTTACTTATTTTACTATCAAGATACTAGAGAAATGCAAGTATTTTCTTGAGCCTCTTAAAGGTTTTTAAACTGGAACTGCATTTTTTAAAGATTTATGTTTAATTTACTCTCTTTTCATTATAGCGTATTAGTTGCCTAAATTGGATTAATTTCAAGATAACACTTCAAGCTTAAAAAGCAGAAACTATTTCAAAAGAAGGTAGGGATATGACTATCCTGAGCTTTTGGGCACAGAAAGACAGGTCGCATACCCAGCAGGGACGCTGCTCAAACATGGTGGGTCTTACAGGACCAGAGCTGGTATCTCCAGGGAGGTATCAACTAGCTTAGGCCCCTCTGAACCCTTTCTCAAGGCTTACATGTTCCCACAGTTCAATTAGTTTACTTTCACTGTTTCTGTTAACAGTAGAAATCAAAATCAAGGATGATACTTTGTACGTATAAAGTTTAAGCATCTATTAATAGCAGAAATACCTTTTCCCTTAAAAGAAACAAAGTATTTTTCTGGTTGGATGATTCCATCTATTAAAACTTACCTGTAAGTACTACAGAGAGGTAGGAGTATAGAGGTGGCCCTAGAGATCTTTGCTTGGGAAAATTATTTCAAGTGCCCTTTGTAGCTTATATTCGATTCATCCTGACAGATAACGGGCTTTTACTCGCCTTTCCTTACAACACTTTCTAAAAAGCTGTTTTATCATCTAAGCGCATATTCACAAGGAACAAAAATATTGTCTTCCTCTACACAGAGATTAATTTTCCAACACTTATTATTTTGTTATTTTTTTACCCCAAACAAGGCTAAGTACTGCTCATTTACTGCTATTTACAAGAAATTGTAAAGCCTGTTAACTTTGAGAGAATACAACATAACACCTGTTTACCATTATCCTGTTCCACGGCATTAAAAAGAGATCTTCCTCAAACTTACTTTTGTACCAGAACGCAAAGACTGGCAACAACAGAGGTGAAGTACTAGCATTCCTTTCTTACTAACCCTAAGTAATAACAACAAAATAAAAATCTCATTTATTCAGTTAGATACTTCCATCTACAAGCGTGAACACACATTACTCAGAAAAGTAATGTCAGTTTAAGAATATGATTCTTCTGGTTAATTGACTAAAAGCAATTTGTCTTGTCGATAGGGTAGCAGTGGGGTTGCCTCTATGCCTGTAAACAAAAAACACTAATCCAAATATAATTCGAGAGGAATTTTGTGTTTGGTTAGCCTCTACTAATTCTGCTCACCTTTTTACTGGGATAACTCTCCTCAAGCTGGTTAAATAGACAATCTGGCACAATAATAACACCTGTAATTTTTACAACCAAAGATGATGAACTTTAGAAGGAAAAATAAAACAGATCCTCTTAATTATCAGATCATTATGAAAAAGTTACGCATGTCCTGAAATCAAGAAGAGACAAGAGCTTTCCAATTACACCAAAGTCTACATTAGACTGTTCCTGATTATGAGGTTAGAATGGAAACAGTTGGCTGCTCTCCTCATTTATCCCTTCAATTCTTTACTACCAGGAAGTTTTATTTTGAGAGTAGAAAGAACATTTCCCATGCATTCCCAAAACTATGCATTTACATGTCATCATATTGCTTAAAATTCTGAGTCACATTTGCCTGAGAAATATAAATGTGCCATTTTACATCAAAAGAGAAGTGTCTTACACAACTTTTTACTCAGAAGGCATTCGGGTTCCATTTAAATGAAGTATGCAACGAAGAATAAAGCTGAGGAGAATCCCACTCATAAGCCCCGGTGAAGAGGATACCCAACACCGAATTTAATTAAAGACTGCTGAAGGAAGTTTCTACCCCCCAGCCATACCATCTGTAATGTGTTTTAGGGATCGGAAGTGTAAAGGACTTAAATAGTTCCCAGTGACTAATATGAGACAATGATTTGTTTAGCTAATTCTTTAGTCATTTAAAACATACTTTCCAGTCTTCCTATTTTTGCCTTCTTGTATTCTAAAAGACAGTGTGGTAACTCCACAAAATTTGAATGTGTAGCATTTTTATAGTTAAGGTACTTCACTTTTTTTTAAGGTAATTTTAACAAGTAGATGTGTGTCTGTTTTAAATGTTAGCAACTGTTTCTACCTAGTTATAAGACTTTTCTCCCACTGTTTAGTTCCAGGAAATTTCAAGTAGTTGTCAGGAACTGATGGATCTGGAGTATAGTGAAGGGAATTAAATGGATCATTTTCTCCTGAGGCTACTTTGAAAGGTGTTCACCTAAATAATTTATGCATGCAGCAGGCTGCCCAAGCAAGTACACTTCCATTAAAAATAGTGCCGGATTCTACAATGACTTCAAGATCCAGTACCTTAGGGTCAAAGCTTGAGTTGCACGGTGAGCTTGTATAAGCATTATTTGCATTCATACCTATTTCTCAGGGAATATTAAGTCCAGAATATTTATAGCTACAATTATTAAAACAAACCTCTCACATTCCATGTGACACACTAGAAAAGCATGTGATTCAAAGTCCAGGGTAGAAATTAGCTATGAATTAGGCACAAAATAAGCATGCTTTTAACACCATAGTATTACTTAGACGATTAACAATTTTAACTTTATCTGTAAAAACTTATCCAAAATTTAACAGATTTTTTTTTATATTCTTGATAAAGGGCTAATGAAAACATTTTCAGTCCAGAAAAGAGCATTCTGCACATCCAGTAGCCTTGTAAATGGGCAACAGAAGGCATATCATTACTCTGATTATCAAAGGCAGAAATAATTTATCATTCAAAGTCCAGTAAAATTAAAGTAGGGTAGACCCTGAACTTCCTCAGAAATAGGGTCAAGAAAAAAAGACAGCCTAGAAATAAAGTGCTAAATATTGATATTCATAGAATCACGGTAGCTCACAAGAGCATACAATAGGTAAGGATATAACTCTTCTCATTTGTAGAAGTAATTGATCTTCATGATACCTCATTTATTTATTAGATCAGTAATAAAATTTCATGACTTAACTTTCAGATTAAGCCTCAAATTGAAAGGTAAATGCTCGATTTTACCTCCAAATCACTAGACTATGCACTTCAGAAACTATGCAGGTCCCACGTGAAATAACTATTTATTCCTTTTTCAAAAGTTTCATATATGCAATTATATTTTAAAATCACAACATACTATCTTGCATTATTGCTGCAAAGTATAATAAATGTAGTCCAGAGGCACGGGCCTTGGTGACATATAGCATTAATGACACTCATTCCATCCAATACTTCTCATCCCTACCTATTAAACCAGAAAACATGCTGACAGAATTACTTGGATCTGGTTACACCGCATAAAGACTTTCATATCTACTCATATTTTCTACTTTTTAACAGTCTGAGTAAAACAAGAGTCATGTACACCTTCAGCTGTCATCCACATGAACTGTTAAATTCTTCTAGCAGCAATATTCAAATAATGAGAATTTCAGCCACAAATACACTTTAAAACTTTTGCCACATACCAGAACAGATTTTTCAATCTTACATCATCTTAATAAATAAAGTTCATATTAGAGTTACATTGCAACGTACTTCAAAGTCGTTTTTAATACTTGGACCAGAAAAGCAACAATAATTTTAAAACTCTAAATAAGCCACACAGCATAGAAAAAATAAAGCTACTTAATTCTATTTCAACTGAGCATTCAAGCAGAATACATCATTTGCAGCATTCTCAGCAGAGATGGAGCACAACAGCAAAGCAGGAGTTAACAGTTCAATATGACTAGATACAATGAGTCTTTTACAGAAATATACAACTAATAAATTGTCACTTGCTAGCGTTGGTTTATTTCCTGACAGCATGCAGTCTGTTTGCTCAAGTGCAAATGATGCTCTTTACAGTCCAGTTTACAGTTCAAATTTTGAATTTTATTCTTCAGAGCTACCATCAGTTTAAACCTTGCCTAACATTTAAAAATATTTCATTAGATGCTTCCTAGAGTAATTTACAGGAGTTACCTACCAAAATAAGGACAACTGGATATAAGAGAGGAATATTTGATTTTTCCAACATATCCACTAGTTGCTGGGATTCTTGAAGGGTATACTTTTTATCCTAAATGGAAAAAAAAAAACATGTTTAAAATTACCGAAAACATCAAACAATTATTTCATAAAGAATGAATTGGTGAGGCACTGGAACAGGTTGCCCAAAGAAGCTGTGGATGCCCCATCCCAGGAGGTGTTCAAGGACAGGTTGGATGAGGCTTTGGGCAACCTGATCTAGTGGAAGGTGTCCCTGCCCATAGCAGGGGGGTTGGAACTAGATCATCTTTAAGGTCTCATCTAACCCAAACCACTCTATGATTCTATGGTTCCATGAATTCAAAGATCTGTTATTTACTAAAAAAAGATACATCACTTCTTGGTTTGGGGTTTTTTTGGTTAGTTGGTTGATTTTAATATATTTACAACACTTTTGTCTGGTAAAGTTATAGCTGTTCGAAAAAAATTGAGATTAGTAATATTACCTTTAGGAAATATATACATAACATATGTAAGGGTCTTGATTAGTCTAGATGGTTCATCTTAAACCTTCTTGTTCCCACACAGGAACCCAAATACAGATTGCATAGCGTGCATGTGTCCAAATGGAAAATACTAATTTAGACCATGGTAGCAATGCACAATTAGGTGACTACACATATGACACACCTCTCATTGAGATAATTCACTTTGATATAGTATCTATAAAAGGAAATTTTAAAGTACTTTCAGTTGCATCTCTCTTGTTCAAGAACTCTTGGCTGGTTTAACAACATACTGACTGAAGTGCAGAACCAGTAGAGAAAGAACAGACAAGTATCTCAAAGGTCTAGTTCGGTGCACATCAGAAACATCAAACATCAGAATGGATACACCCAGAGGATAGAAATAACAAACAACTTATTACTCTAATACATAATTATGGTTTACCATTACTAATAAGTTTAATACAAAACTAAAAGCATGCATCCTTACTACTTACATTTACACAAACAAAATTGTAGCACTGTCCTGAAAAGATGTTTTGTAGATGGCTATCATTTTTGCTTAGAGATGTTGATATAGCTTCAACCTGATTAGGAAAAAAAAAAATTACTATATCGCAAACTTGACTTCAGCCTTAACTGTCTGCTAAAGCTTCCACCATTATGGCAGTTCGTTCATTCAAATGATTTAAAATTGGCAACTATTTCCACTATGAGAGTGAAAAATAGCTCAAATTTTCAGGTAACTCAACAGTGAAACATGGAGATGGAGTCCAACACCTTGCAGTTTTCTGCAAGTTTTTGCTGAAGCATACTGCTAGAGGGAGCCACTCAAAAAACAGCCCTGAAACTATCAGACACTAGTGCTGCTGCCTGCATTAGCATGGTCAACTGTTCCCAGAGATGAAAACACTGTGAATAGGATCAAGATAATCTAATGATTTAGACTTCTGATTCTGAGAAAAATCTCTATAATGCTCAAACACACATATATATATAGTCTTCATGCAACTAACAAATGAAGTATGTGCACATTTTAAGATTCTGCATATGACAACTCATTTAGAATTTCTCCTGAAATGCATTTCCTCACTGAGTACTTTAAAATACTGTCTTAATCCCAGACATACTTATTTTGCAACCTTTAACTGTAACACCAGCTAAGAAATGATCTTATCCTAATTAAAATTAAAAGTAGATTCTAATACATTATCATCTTCAAGATTGCCTTAAGTAAAACAGTAAACCAGGTATTGGAAGGGGAATTTGTTCGCTAAGAGGAGATAACACTTTGAAGTCAATTTAAAAAAAGTGGAAAGTAAGGAAAAAAATCTTAATGCTGCCTCTCTTAAACCAGCAAACTTCACTGTTCTAGTGCTCAAATGAGCTTTACTTCGGCCCAGAAGACGCACTACATATAGTGGCAAACAACAGAAGCAATACACTGCTCTGTTCTCTCGAAATGTCACTTAATACACAGTCCAACAGAAGTATTGAAAAAAATAAAAAAGGCTTTCTGCTGTTATTTGAAGCTGTATTTGTTTATTTCTGCAATATTTGGGGAGCTAACTCATTTGCAAAAGAAGATGGTTTGAAACCCAAAATTTGATATTTATGCATTAAAGATTTTTGAAACATTTTGGACTGAAAATTTGATAAATGCCCTAAATATTTGACATTTATTATTTTAAAGAGATTAAAAAAAAACCCCAGAGAAGGCAAGAATTACTTAAAATACTTTAAAAATGTAATACTCCAGGGCTCTTTTGGCTTGAACTTCTGCAGAAGTAAAAGCAGAAATCACAGTACCTTCACAACCTTGCAGATACTTAGATGAACAAGACCATGTCACACGCCAGAGTCTTTTCAGAAGGTAAATGGAGCATGATTCAAGGGAGAAGGCCTACTTTTTTTTCCCTTGAGATAGTAAAATACATAATGCTTAATTGTTCTTGAACATTTAAAAATTAATTTAGTGTATCAGAGTTTTGATTTAATTTGAACAATTTGATAACACAGTGCACTGAGTCTTTGTTTTACAGCCATGCTATCCAGCAAAAATTACATCAGCTTTCTCTCTTGGAAAAGTAAGCGCAGCTGCCAAACTAGAAGCATCAATACATCTTCAATTAACTAAAATTAATTCTATTTGGCATGTTGGTATACTATGCAAAAGTATTTTTGTAATTAAAATTAATATTCGAAGTTATCAGCTACTTGAGACAACAAAAATTACCTAAAAATACCATCTCAGTAAAAAGTGTTTGTCACATAAATGTTTCAGTGTTTAAACAGAAAAAAGTACATATAATTGCTTAATCACTTATGGTCATTATAGCACTTGATATTCAGCTAGTGTAAAGAAGCAGAGATGGTGAGTTTTTAAGAACATGAAGAAAACAATAGTAAATAAGTTTAATGTTTTTCTACTTATCAGGTGCCCTGTGCTGAAGTTTCAACTTTATTCAACATCCACTTTCATAAAATCAAACACAGAGAATCTGTAAAAGTTACATTATATCACAATTCAAAATCACAATTAATACCAACCCAGCAGACAATGCAATAATTAAGAAATTAGTGAATTTCTACTAGTGAAACACTAGTTTATTTCCTAATTGAAAAAAAACTAAACGCTTTTATATACTGCTTGCGCATATTTATCCAGTCACAAAAATAACACAATACTTCATTCAGTTGATGAAGCCCTGAAACTATCAGACACTAGTGCTGCTGCCTGCATTCACACATTTCACCTGTCAGGAGCACCTTGTCACCGAATAAG